TTCTTGAGTAGAACCCCCCCCCCCCGCTACTCCCCACCGCCCTATAATTATTTGACAATTCTGTCAGTCAATCCACAACAAAGCCACTCTGTTTTCATATTCAGTGAAAAAGGACAATGTGAAGTGTGGATTTTCTTCAATTCATAGTTAACTAAGATATTGTATCCATCACTTGCATAAAAAGGTAGTCTATGTTACATTGGCATAGTACTATAATGACAAAGCGGGGTGTGCGATAGACTTACCTCCGCGTGGTGCACCCTGGGCAACGTATTCTCATACGGCAAAAGGTCTATAAACTGGCAGTTGACTTCTGACTTCAAACTATCATGATCACACTGTATGTCATATTCGACCTGACTGTATGTCATATTCGACCCCTTCCACAGTACTCATAATGACCCGACTGTATGTCATATTCGACCCCTTCCACAGTTCTCATATTCTGTATGTCATATTCGACCTCTTTCACAGTACTCATCTCACCTTTTCTCTGCCTTTGTGTCTGTCTGTCTCTTTTACATCTTTGAATCACTTTTCTGTTCCCCCTCTCCACTTTTTCTCACTTTAATGTTCTTCTCCTCTGTGAAGCTTGAAGTCAACTAAAGGGCTAATGATAAGTATCATAAAGCTCGCTATTTAAAATAAATAAATAATGACAAAGTAGAATAATTGTGATGTGTAATTAACGAGAAGCCCAATTTGAGGAGATTGAATTAACAGGAAGATTAACGTCGCATGCCTATTATATCTGAAGTTAATAAAGCAAAACTTGGAGAATATAACGAATGTTTAACAAGGTCCCTTTATTTGACAAGAGTTCATTGACGCTGATTGAAATAACACCGAAGAAAATAATGTCTTGGTAACTGTTTTATAATATTGGCAATTAATAATTTGATACTCGAGTTACTCAAACAAATGCCACAACTTGATTTCATCTTAATTAAATGAAGAGCAAAATACCTATCGAGAAACCAAATTTCGAAAAGGCGTCGCCGCGCAAATTATATTACTCGAAGAAGTGGTTATTTCTGCAATTATCGATGTTGAATATGTGCGTACTAACGCATTTATTTGACTAAGTTGATTTATTGTGAATGGGGGGGAGGGAGGAGGGAGAATAGGACCTATTAACCGAAATAGTGAAATATTCTTCCATCCCAATCCGGTTTATTGCATCGAATTGATTGCAGCAACAAAACCTGAAGTCATCTCGAATAAATAACCCATAGATCTACTATATCAATGTGACGTTAGCGAATTAAGCAACCGTCAAATCATTTTAAGGCAGTATACTTAGCCCTCCCTCAAGTTTAGGATGAACTCTGAAATTGCCATGACATTTACAAGAAGTAAAATAAAGGAACGTATAATGAAAAAAAAAAAGAAATTACTATCACACATGAAAATTTTTGGCAATTCGGTAACAAATTGAGTCTGAAATGGGTAAAGAATTCATGAAAAAAACAACATAAAGTTCCTAAGGAAACAGGAAGGAAATCGTGAACATGAAAGAGTGTACTTTATCCACTCGTCCATGAAGGTCAAGTTTTGCAAGACATCTTAGATTCCTTGTTTCCTACCCCTAATCTATCAAATATTTGTGATATTCGATGGTATTTTTAATTCATGTACAAATCACTAGTGCAACCATAGTTTACCATTTAGAACTTATTTACTTCGACTGGGGTGATTAAATAAAATTGAGCAAATAACTATGCTCAGAGAAATGAAAAGACTTAACATGAAAAAATCCGAATTTAAAAAAATGAGCATTTACATGTTCATTAATGTGGCAATGATGCTCATTAAATTAGTCAAATGCTGTTAAGTAGCCTATAAATAGACCTTCTTATTGTGCTTTTCCATTTTCAAAACTGAAAGAGTTAAAATCGAGTACCCTCTGGCATTCGCTTGATTGGTTTGCCTTGTAAATCGACTGTAGTTAATAAGTTTTCAATGACAATAATTAACCGGCTTCAGTCTGATTCTTCTTTAATAAAAAGTGATTAAGCTTTAATTAAGAAGTGAAGGAATACTAATGGCAAACAAAACCATTCAACAATACCTATTATATGGTTTATTGATGTAATCAAAGCTTAAGCGAATTCGGGATAAAATCATTGAAAGAATAAGCATGTATGCTGACAATAAGGTAATGAAATGGAAGTAGTAAATGGAAGAGCATTTTGACAAAATCAATATGTGGAAGAAATATCATTATATTTTCTTTGATTCATTTTTAATTGACTAAAAATGGTCTTATGAACTGGGATTTCGAAGGAAGTTAAACAAAAAACATAGAACTAATCTCCATATTAATAAACAGGCTAAACTGTTAGCAGAACAGTGTATTTCTAATGAAATTCACTTAAGAAAGTGCATAAATTTCATAGCAAAAATTTCACAAGAAAAACAATTTTTTCAGTATATAACTTTTATGTTTGAAAACTTGACCTTCTCAAGACTCCCTTTTAACAAGATCGCTTCCGGTTCGCAATTTAAAAAGAACCCTTTGCGGAATATTAATTATGAAATTTAATTTTAAATGAGACAAAATTTTGTTAATTAATAATTTCGAACAAAAACTGTAAAAATTTCGTGTTTTGATAAGTAGAATAGGTTTCTTAAAATCACTGATCTAAATTGATAGCTAAGGATAATAAGAAAAGTTTTGCCTTCCTATTTCGCTCAATTTAAATTTTAAAATCAGTAATGTGCAAAAATTGAAATTAAATTAAATATACACTCCACGCTACTCCGATGCTTTCTGTCATTCTTATTAATAATTAAATGACACCAATTACAAATCTGACAGAGTAGGCAAGAGTAGATACAAGCTGTGGACATTTGGAGACATTGCCAATTCTAGCTCCGATATATTTTAGCAAAATCCGATAATATTGCTTAAAGGTTGGTTTATATGCTAATGCAAATCAATGTAGTTTTGAGGAAAATAAGATTAGTGTATTTGTAAACAAAATAACTCAAACTGAGGATCCAAACAATATCGTTGGATGTAATTTGAGTTAAAAAAACAATAAAAAACAGGATGATAAAGATGTCTTTCACTTTCCTTCAAATTTTTTGGCTCTTTTATATCAGGAAATGTTCATGTAGTTTGTAAAAATTGTGAACGAAGAATAGCCAAGTAACTGAGCTTAGGAATTACGATTATTTAAAACAAGTGCAATAAAAAGTAATAATTTTCAACAACAGGCTTTGTTTGTGTGATAATGACAACTTTCGGATTACTCATCAAATCTTACTTATGAGACTTTCAAAACCCTAACCACTCAGTAGAATAAAACATTACGAAAGAATGTATCCCCCCCCCAGAGATGCTTAAGTGAATGTGACGGCTAAAAGGAATCAAAATGCAAAAAACGCTTGAAGCTCACAGGCCTCTTAAATTACTGTTAAATAATTTGAAAGGTAAGCTTCTTTTGTTTAAATAGTGCCAAAGGTATGGTCTACTGAGCATTGGGCTTGTTGCTATTGTTGAGATTTCAACACCATTTCAAATGCTTTGAAAAGGAATTTTGAAAGATTCCAAAATGGAATTCTTGAAATTCAATACCCATCTGAAAATGTGGTTTGAAACGTTGTTATATTTTATATCTTGAACTGCGAAATTTAAGTGAGAAAGATGGGTCTGAATCCCTGAACCTACCCTGTTTTCCATATGAAAGAATCAAAAAATGTAATTTTCTTTCCAAAGGAATTAAACTTTTTTTAAATGAAAATGACTAAAGCACAAAAGAGCTTTTATTAATGGCAACTTTCATCTAATGTGACTTCGGCTGATAGTTCTTCAGCGATTATGAAACCCAATTATCATCTTCCACTTTACCGTTTATAATATGGAAAATTATTTTATTTATTTAACTAATTTGTGCACAAGTATGAAATAAATTTTTCTAATGAGGAAAACATAACACCAATATCGGTAGATATCTTTCCCCAGCGCCAGGAGGGAAAGTAAGCTAGTAGAAATTTTTATTCCAAAGTCAGACACTATTACGTGAAATTATTAAGAAATAACATATTAAAATAGATATGAGTGCAATTAATGCAGTAATGAAAAGAGTACTACCAGTCAATAAAAAGTTGTTTACCAAATCTTAATTTATTGAATCCCAATTGCTTTTAATTAGATTAATCAAATCCAAATCCAACTAAATCAACATTAATGCGGTTAACTGAAGTCAGTGCAACACTATCTTTACAATCATACGTTCAAGGTCAATACCTTATAACGACATGCGCAAGAGAGGCAGCATTGCAAAAGGAGCCATCATTACCAATGAGTGGACGTTGCTAATCAAAATAGAAATAGCGTGTCAGAAAACTGCATCATTAAATAATTACACTTGACTCTCAACTGTCACCCTACACTACTTATAACTGAAATTTCAAAGAATGAGAAATAAGAATTTTGTTTTAAACCAATTTTGGATTACATTTCAAAAACCTGTAGTTAAGTCTGTCAAGAAATTGTTCATCGCGGTTATTTTGAATGAGTGAAAAGGTCAAGTTAAATAGTAATTCAAATCTAACCTATTTCTATTGTGCATAACTCCTGATAAACTAAAACTTATAAAGGATAACTTTAGTAGCATCTAAAGTTAGACACTAATCAAATTTATTTGGGACTATTTTAGTGCCTCCTCTTTTTTAAGAGAATACTGAAATATGAACCGATTCGGCACAATCGGAAGGTCATTTAAAATTGAATATATCTCTACAATTAAGTGTCATTCACCATCCTGCTATTTTCTAAGCAAGATATCATTCATTCTATGCGCATATTCTAATGCAATTAAAGCGTAACCTTCAAAACGAAGTGTGCATTTAACAAGACACTGTTTTGCCGTAACTCACGATTTTTACTTCTAATATATCAAAAAGGTAATAAAAAGTGAAGCAAAAAGGTGGCAAAAGTATAATCAGGAGAATATGAAAACAGAATGTCAATTTTAATCAAAATTCTCTCTTTATAATCTCGAAGTTTTACAAGTAATTTTGGGTGACTTACTACTACCACCAGTTTTCGAGGAGGTCAATAAAATTGGAGACGAATTGGAAGTATTTGCCCATTTACTGGGAGAAATGACTTTAGTTTCTACATAACCACTGCTTCTGTAGTGAATTTTATTATTGCTAGTGTGATTCCTTCCATTGCGGGGTCTGTCTAAGCTGTTACTTCGAAGGGAGGAGGAGGTATGGTATATTGGTTGCTGAATTACAGAACCTTTCAAGGTACTGGAGGAAAAATTGGATGCGCTTGATGCAGCAAGTGAAATTTTAGTTCCTGTGCTTCTGCTTCCTGATGATCGATATGTACTGACTGATTTTACAACATCTAGCTCATAATTTGGATCATCATCATCAAAAGTTGAGGATGATGATGATGATGAATCTGAATCTGAACCCAGGGCTGATCGAAAATTCTTCAAACTATCACTCTCATCATAACTGTCTTCAGATGGATAATTGTACTTGGTAATCAGCTCATCGTCATCTTTGAACGTCAACCTCTTTTTCTACAAGAAATAGAAGGTATTAAATTGCAAACTAATAATTCATATTTAGCGGCACTTTGGAGAGAAATTACCTCAACTCCTAAAGAGGGCCTTCCTTTCTTCAAAATAGATCGGATACTGGAATTTGTGAAATTAGATCCAGACATTCCTGTACTGCTTGATACCGATGGGCTGCGACTATATTTTCCAAGAGCGCCATTCTCGGTAGGATTGGCACAATTACCATAACCATTTCTTTTCAGTTTGTCCTGTAATATCTCCATTTGTGTCTGCGCTTGATAATTCGCCCATGATTCCACAAAATCATAGGCAGACTCATCAACTTTCAATCCAAATTGTTCTTCTAATGCCTTGTCATATTTATAAGGAGAGCGGTGATTATTGCTACTTTTGTTACTATAACCACTCAAAATTGATCGAGGTTTCTTTAAAACCGGCGGGGGCTTCTTCGGTGTAATAGGATGAACAGAAGTTGAGAATGGTGGAAGACCATCTGTAATACTAAATTCTTGCTTTGAATGAAAATGTTTATCACTTTTATCACTGGAAGCCAGGGCAATCAAAGGTTTAGGCCTTATTTCCATTGCAGAGCTGGATAACCGTGGTGCAATTTCAGTCTTCTCAGGGGCGAGATTAATGGATTTATGTTCCGATAATAAAGTTTCTGGTACGCTCCTGATTGGAATTATTTTGGGTGTATAAGTTGGCTCGTTCCTCAGGGAAGGCACAATCTTGCGATAAATCACTGGTTTGGGTTTAACTTTGGGTGGAATGGGGTTCGTTCGAGGAAGTTCGACTGAATTTCTTTTGACCAAAAGCTGATCACTCGAACCCGATAATATTGATAAAGAACTTTCGCTTGGAGGTGGATGGAAAGATTTATTCAAAAATGGCTTCGAAAGAGGTGTTTTTGTGTCGTTGTTAGTGTCAGTCGTTTTAGTAGAATTTTCCATTGATCCGTTAAAATATGCGTCATTTTTATTTACAAAAGCCTCAGGAGAATTATAATCACTTTCAAATAGCATCTTCATAGCGTCTACAGTGCCAGTCACTGTAGTTGCCATTTTGAGACGATAGTAGAAAATAAAGATTCGAATGTGTGGGGTTTTTAGTAAGGATAAACAAAAGTGACCTTAAAAGATTAATTATTCATTATGATAAAAGCAAATCAAACATTTCAAAATCAAGGGTTTATTTTGATTATCTAAAAATAAAAAAACATTGTTTTAGAGACATGTTTTGCTATCATAGTTCTCATAAAAATATGATGAATATTGACGTATAAACGCATGCTCAACCAAATTTGTACTTGAATGGGGTAGTTAATTTGCTTATCATTAAATGAATAGCTATTTAATATTGATATATTCTTCAAGGTATTAAGCTTTTTATAAAGGGTTTGCCTAATGTTTCGTTATACTTATTTTCATCTAGCTTACATTTTGAGATGAAAAAAGCTAAATAACTTTAGATATTGATCTTTTGATAATTATCCGAAAGGTTACATCTACAACATTTACTTGATATAATGAATTCGTATTGAGAATTATATTAGCTAAATGTATATTTAAGGCAATTTCATTGAGTAACTCTATTTGTAAGAAGACAATTTGTAAAAAATTTTAACTAATTTTAAAAGGTAAGTGGAATATCAAAAGGCTTCTTTCTTCCTTTTTAATGCTGTAAACCGATAGTTTTGCTTTCAGTTTAGAGTTCCAAATTGTTTAAAATTTTAGTAGGTCCAATAGAAGTTCTATATTTGCTCCTATTATGTATAAACTTTCGATATTCTTTCTCAGTTTGTGTTATTTTCTCATACTAATTTGCTTGACAAATTCAAAAACATAATACTTCATGATTTTACTCAAACGCGCTTCGAATTTTTTATAATTGCACTGTTGCTTTTGAAAAACGCTATTTCTGTTCTCAATCGATTTCTTAATCATTTCCAAATTAATTCAAAATTTTAATAACGTGACTGTGAGTTGGTATTTTTTGCACTTTTCTGCAATATGTAGCAGTTCGTTGCCCGAATAAGTCTTGATTAAACCCCTGTTAATCTCTGTGGCAAAATCCCCTTGTACGAAATTGCACTTCGATTAACTAAACTACCTCAATAATATAGAGGATCAGAATATATAACACGGAATATGCCTACTAGAGTTGTAATAATTGCTATGCTAGAGAAAATAAGCAAATCATGCAGACTCCCCCTTCCACTAATTGTTATTAAGAGCAGTGACACATCTTTTGTCTATTACTCATACTAACCAAACTTCAGGGGTATCAATTACTATCCTCCTCATATTTCATCTTTAAAGCTGGAAGCTGGAGATATTTAAAATAAAATTTCATATCGGTCTCACTCCTAAAGGAAATAAATTCCTGGGACCCCATTTCAGTGAGTATCCATTCAAAGTCGATAACTATCCGAGGAAAAACTCAGTCAATATATAGATATTTATAGACTACGTAGCTCAACAACTCTTCTTCCTTTGATTGTAACTAAAAGCAAAATTAAACTAATCAGTACAATTCAGTGTAAGAAAGAAACAAAACAGGAAAAAGAATTGGGACAAGAAGAAAAGATAAAGGCACACATTGATAGCTTCATGCGAGAATAGTTCTTATTTGATTCCTTTTTTCGCGAATTCATCCACCACGACCTTGAACACTTCCTCAATGGAATCTGAGGCATCAATCTGAAACGGAAAAGTAGGTTAACATTATTAATTGTTGACGTTATTATTTGTTTGATACGGTCTTGAACTGAATCTGCTTAAATTCTGATTATACAGTGTTTCTCGATATAAGGGCAATAATAAAAATATAAATTTAAGTTAATACGGTTACTACTTTATGACGTTCTTATTTTATTGCAACCGAAATGAATCAAGGTTAGCTGACCTGACACTGCAGGACTTATTAATGATTTTTTCATTCACCCATTTGCGCAAATTATTAATGCCCATGTAAAAGTTGCTAATTACATAGTTCAAAGCGATTCTCCGCTGAATGTCTAGACAACTGCGCCGTTCATCTCTGATCCTGGAAGGTGGGATAATTGCATTAATCTGATGATGTTCACATATTGATATTAGCCAGAATCAATTATGGAGGGAGAAAAAATCTTTCCAAAATTACTTTATATTTATAGGAAAATAATGCACATATGTACTGCGCACACCTACCGTAATAACTTTGCCCTCCTTGGAGTAGTGATCAACGACAGCCACGGTTTTTTCCTCAAAAGTTTTGAGTCGCTTGACAATGGTTTCCTCGTTGTCATCAACACGACCGCTAGTCTCCCCACGTTTAAGGAGACGCTCTTTCATCACTTTCTCGCTGAGTTTGAAGTAGAGAACTGTGAAGCACTTTGCCACCTTTGTGGAGCATACAAAATAATAACTCCAACAATAAACTTCTAAATCGTTTAAAATGAAGGACTTCCTATACTCCATTTTGGAAATTTTCGGGTGAGAAATTTCTGTTCCCCTACCATTATCATGCAAAGTTTAATCTGCAAATTTTAATAGCCTGTTTGTGAAAAGTGCATTGATAAAAATAGGACACCTTATACGTGACATATCACTTTGCCGCTTCACCACTGGGTGTTGAACCATAATGGTTGATGACGTTCAAAACCAATGAAGCTGAGCATGAAATTCCATAGCTGAAAAGTCAAACATACACAGCAGACACTTTACTGCATCGTTTTCTTGTTAAACTCCTTAATTATTTTCTGCTTGTTTTGAGACATCTTGATATTTAAGGTGCATTTTAGAAAATCTGATTTCAAATTCAAGTTTGAGGAGTTGAGATTAAACTCACGTCTTTTTCGAAGCGAAGCCCTTGTTCGAGTTCCCGAGGGTAGCCGTCAATGAGAAAGTAAGGGCTCTTATCAACATTTTTCACCATCGCTTCCTTAATCAGAGCCAAAACGATTTCCTGAAATGTTCAATGGTCTATTATTACGAATGCTTCTCTTTATTGATCAATATATACAAATAAGTCATTTATTTTGCAACTGATTTTACAGTTATCGTGGAAGAGGTGCACTACAATGGAATAGGGACATACGGGTGCAGCCAATCAGAGGACAGGAAAGCGACTACGTGCGATTACAGTGTTGCGTGCCCTTCGACCGTAACTTAAATGTTTCTGAAGCAACCTAATTAGATTAATAATTGCAGAATGAGATTCACGATCAAGACAACTGTAGAGTAACTAGAGAGAAGGAAAGGTACATAAAAGCACAAAATGTCTAGTGATACTGGGAGATAAAAGTAAATCCTATTTAGAAAAAAATCTAATATTGTAATTACATTATATTATGTTATAATACTTGTAAAATAGCCGATAAGCACTCCAAACCTTTCAATTGACATTGACAATGCGATTTTAAAAAAAACAAACAAAGACTTACACGGCGGTTCAAGCCAGAATATTAATAAAATTTCACCTTTTAATGGCTAGACTAATCAAGCGTCCCTACGGAGTTTCTAGGGAATTAATAAATACGCACACTATTTGCTTAACTCACCATACAACGTTGAAGGGCTATGTGCAACTATAAATGAACTGAAAATTCGTTTTTCTTATTACTCAGTAATGATAAAATTGCAGAAGTTCGCAGTTGTCGGCGCTTACTGAACGGTACCCCACATATTTTCTCACTTTTCTCATAGTACTAAAACATATGATTCATTTCATGTATAGGTATAATGATTTAAAAGTTTATTTAGTAAATTAAATTAAATTCAATATAATTTTTGACATTAAACCCTCTTTAATGCTCATAAACATTTTTATGACTTAGCCTTTGCTGAAAGATAAGGCCAACAATTTATTATTCCCACAAATTTTAGCTGAAAATCGGATCATAAAATGTCTATAAATGCTAGTTTGAATGTCTGTAGCATTGGTGGAGCTACATCCAAATGTTCGAATTGTCAGGTAGATCGCCAATTTTCTTGGACTCTCCACTACTTTCTTGCCTCTCAAAAGCTGATTTGAACGCATCTTTATTAAATTCTAACTCACAAATATTAATTTTTTTATGTAATCATATAACCATACCTATTTTGATTTATCACGACTTTGAAATTAATCGAAGTCTCTTTCTACGCAGCAGCGGGACATAATAGATCCGCTTTTGAAGGAGAAATAGAGGCCATTAGGATAGCACTATGCCAATTATGTTGCCTGGATACGAAATTCACCAAAGCGGTGATACTTTCGGACTCACAGTCAGCAATAGACTCAATTGGAAACAGAGAGACACCCAAAACAGCTGAGATAAAGGAATGTAGAAAACTGTATGAGCTGCTGAGAGAGAAAAACAAAACAGTGGTCCTACAATGGATTCCTGGTCACTGTGGCATTAAAGGCAATGAGATTGCTGACACACTTGCTAAGAAGGGGACAACGATTTTGCAATGCATGGACCGGCCGATGTCTTTCCACACAATGAAGGCCTTAATCAGGAGAGAATTCCAGACCTCAAGGTGCAATGAACTTAAAGCTCGAACAAAGGAGAAACAGTGGACAGTGGCACTCTCCGACATACCCGANACCAAGCAAACGTTGGTTCAGGTGTCTATTTAGAACTCTTCTCTTACTACACACCAGCGGAATACAATAGATCCGCTTTAGAAGGAGAAATAAAGGCCATTAGAATGGCACTATGCAAATTATGTTGATTGGATACAAAATCCACCAAAGCATTAATGCTTTCGAACTTACAGTCAGCAATCAACTCTATTGGAAACAGAGAGCCACCCAAAACAACTGAGATATACGTATGTAAAAATCTCTATCAGATGCTGAGAGAAAAAAACAAAA